CAATTTGAAGATATTTGAACATCAAAACAACCTCTTATAATGAAAGTTTTAGGTAGGCTCAAATTTGATTGTTTAGAGCCTCGGCTCCATATAAACTTTTCCCTTTAAAAATACGCACCAAACATAATGGAAAAGGAGCTTTGAGCGTTGCTCCTTAGGCTTGCTCCCCATTAATTCCCGTGTGGATTTCAGTGTTCTCTCTCTCTCTCTCTCTCTCAATGTTTATTTTCTCTCTCTTCATTTTTTTGAACTTGTTATCCTACGCGCCCAAATCCCCTTCTCTCTCTCTCTCTCTAAAGTCTAAGCTATCACGTTATAAAGGACTTCTCTCTAAATATCCCGTTATAAGACCCTTCACTCTCTCTCTAACTCTACTCTTCTCGGATCCCGAGTTTCTTGAGAGAAATTATAATGCGGACGACGCCGTATTTCTTCGGATTCCGACCACTATTGCCTAATATTGGCAATTTTTCACCGAAAATTTGGGATTAAGGCCCAAGAAAGAGTGGCTCAAACGAAATTTTGCTGTATTCAGACCGTATTTCATACAGATCTGCATTTTTTCGAGCTTTTCAGCTCAATTTAAGGTGCCAATTCTCGTCTAAAGCTCCTGATTTTTTCAAATTATACGTATAATATACGGTATAATGGAAAATTCACTGGGGATTACAGTTGAAAAAGAGGTTCTTTTTCGAGTTTGGGTCTGTATATTGATGGAGAATTTGTAGCTATCTCTGCACAGTGAACATCAGGAAAAAGTTGGGTTTGAGTATTTGAGCATGGATGACCTTTGAATGCTTTGTCAATTGATCAGAGAAAAAGGGGTTTGAGAGATTGGGGCCAAGCAAAAAGTGTTACTTTTTTACCCTGCCTGACTGGATTAAAGGAGGGGAGAGAGTTTCAGAGGAGGTGGGTGATTTGAGATGGAGGCCATGAAGAAGCTCCATGAAGTTCCAAAGCAGAGAGATAGACACATTGTTACTTGGACTCCTCAGGTCTCTGAGCTTCTCATTGTGTGCCCATTTGTCTTTTTCCCCTTTGATTTTCCATTTTGGGGTGTTCTGTTTTATCTGGTTTCGAATCTTGTTTGTCAAATTTTATCTGGTTTTCGTCTTGTCTTTCGAATTTTGATGAGGGGGCTTTCAGATGAATCAAAACATTTTAGTTTTTCTTTCTTGGGGTAAATTGTTTAGGTTTATAATCTTTATATTGATGCTTCTCATTGGTTCTAATTTGATAACTGGAGTTGTAAATGAGTGTACTCTTGTTAAAGTTTTTTGCATCATATTATATTGATGTTCCTAATTATAAATTTACAATCAACATTTGGTGAAGATTTCATTTCTGTCAACGGTTTTTGCATGATCGTCTATTGGTTTTCTGTTATGGTACAGATACATAATGAGCATTTTGAAAGACCAATTCTCTCAATGTTTTTCCTTCGATCTTGTATTGACATTTTTTTGAGTTCTGCACATCCAATCAGCATTGTTAAAATTTTACTTCTTTCAATTCTTTTTGCATGATCTTTTATTGATTGACGTTTCTCCTTCTAAAAGTGTATTCACTTTGTGTTATATTGTTACAGGAGGATGATTTATTGCGTGAACAGATCAGGATTAATGGAACAGAGAGGTTAGGAGATAATCCATCGTCACTAGTTTCTTGCTTGCAATTCAAATTTCCTTTTTTTAAGACTAGTTCTTATATTATCAGTTCAAAACTCTGTTTAGTTAAGTGCCCTTTGAACTAAAACTAACCCCTACAAGGTTCTTGCTTTTCTTAAATGTGCAGCTGGACTGCTATTGCCTCCAAGTTCAAGGACAAAACAAGTAGACAATGTAGAAGAAGGTTGATCAAAATTCTCGCATCTTTCTAACATGATCCTCTGGTTTGAACTGCAAAAACAGCGTGAACGATTACTTGGGCTTATAAGTTTTTCTCTTGACTGCAGATGGTACACTTACTTAAACTCTGATTTCAAGAAAGGGGGGTGGTCGGCCGAAGAGGACAAGCTCTTATGTGAGGTATGCTAGTATCCATTTCTGTAATTGTAAGGGAAAGTATTCTATACACTAGTTGTATGTGGCGTATGGTGCCCCATGGGGACATCAACCATCCATTTTTGATGACAGACAGTGGAGATTGAGCAAAGGCTGAATCTATGTCATCAGAAATTCTGAGTTAGTATCCTATTTTTTATTTTATTTTATTTTATTTGGGTAAGAGAGCTAATATCCACTATCCATTGGTGGAAGTGGATGGTGGATGTCCCCATGGTGTGCAATATACTGCATACCACAGGTGCATGTTATGCGCTTCCCACTCTGTTGTGTTTTCTTCTAGTTATTGTAGACTTTTATTGCAGACTTTTGAAATCCTGAAAACATTTGAAAACTCTTATAATGGTTGACTCATGCTCCACTACCCCTCAATAGCCAAGGTTTTGAAGCCTGGCCATTTCTGGGAAGGCCTCATGCTGAGACAACCTAAAACAGTTAAAAATTGTAAAAACTGGAAATATATTAATCATGTCCATTGAGAACTTGACATTTGAAAGCTCACTTATTATGGTATACTCCTGCAAAGGATATAACTATTGAAATCAGAGACTGATTTTTATTTGTATATTTGCTTTGTGGTCTTTACTTGCCAATAAACTGACAAGAAAGTCCAAATGCAGGCACAAAAGATATTTGGAAACAGGTGGACTGAAATTGCCAAGGTGGTATCAGGCAGGTAACTTCTTCATTGCCCATTAAAACATTTTACAGCCTACATCTCCATGTGAGGATCACACTTAAGCAAAACTACCTTTTAGAAGCAAGCTTTTAGTCATCTCTTGAAGCTTCAATGTTTTGTGCTTGCAACTCCATTTGGTCAGGCAGTGACAAGAAACCTCCTCTAACTTGGATTCTTTTATCGTACAGGACGGATAATGCAGTGAAAAACAGGTTCACTACTCTCTGCAAGAAAAAAGCAAAACGAGAGGCCCAATCGAAGGAAAACACCAGCAACTGCTTAAATGAAAACAACAAAAGAATTATCCTCCCAAATGATACATCACCCTTTAAGAGGATCAGGTATAAGCAACAACTGACACCACCACACTTCAATCTGGTTTTGAAATTCCAACAAAAAAAATTCGATAAATGGGACTGATGTATAGGCCAACCAGATAAAGACACAGATGTTGACATGGTGAATACAACTTGGCAATTAATGGGTGAATACAACTTGGCAAATAATGAGAAAGACTTGCATACTATATGGCCAAATCAGCCATAAACTGGTGGTTTATAATATAGACTACAAGGGGACAACCACCATCCATTTCCAGTGAGGAACAGTGGAGATTAACTGTCCATGGATGAATAACTGTCATTGGGAAGTAATGGAAGGTGGATATCCTCATGGGGCATATAATATATACACCTGGTTTATGGCATATTTGTCTAATAATACCATTGCTAAACTTTTTTGTAATTTTGAGCTTAATATGAGGGATTCAAGGGTTCAAAGTTTGAAGGTTGCCCTCATGCAAACCCAGCTAAACTACCTAAAAATAAAGGAAAATAAAGGAAGAAAAGTAAATATTTAGAAAACAAAGAAAATGGAAGAATATGAACAATGGCCCAAAGGCACCAATCAATATTACATATACCTTTATACGCCTGTACACATGTTTTATGTGGTTCCCATAGGTTTGGGACCCTGAAAATTTACTGACTAAGATACCTCGGATATAATAGTATGAGAACCATGGACCTTCTTCAATCAATGCTCAGACCAAAACAGCCATCTGGGAATCACACATATGGGGATTGATATACATCATGGATCACATATGTGCATGAAAAATCACTCATAATTATCTAATACATTGGAGCTTATCGAGGTATCACAATTATCTAATACATCAGAGCAACTTCCTCAGATGTTCTAAGCATGTGGTGCAATGTGGTTCAGGACCCATATATCAGGATTCGAAGAAATAAGGACAAGAAGCGTCATGGATATAGTGAAAACTAACATTCATGATGTAAATACTAGAAAGAAAGGGAGGTCTCGCGGAGATTTGGGTTCGATAAGTCAGCAAGTCAGATCTCCTCTTGCAGCTCTGGTACCCAACTACAACAGCATAGTAGACCTATCAACTGAGTGTCTCAACAATGATGAATCCAAATTAGCAACAAAAGATGGTAAATGGATCACCATTCTTTTTGCCCCAAAATTGAGTTGTACTTATTATTTTCATAGTATGCAGTTTCTCTCAGTAATTATGTCTCTTTTGATGATTTGTTTAGCTCTCATTTTATTATAGTCCTGCATGTGCAGAGAGAGTTATCGACATTACTGTGATGTTTAGTTTTTTGCAATTTATGATGTTTCAATAATATCATAAGAGATATTTACCCAAAAAAATAATATTATAAAGCATGGACAGGGGAACCATTGTTGAATATTGGGAAATTTATGTTCATGTCCTCCTAATGTTCTCGTTATTTAAAAAATCCCCCTAAAATGTTGTATATTACACTAGTACCTTTCTTTTTCAACTTTTTATTTTTTTTTCAAAATGCCCCATTTCAAACTTTAGATCTGAAGTCATAAATTATGTGATGACTTCTGATTTTGAAGGTCCGAAGCAAAGTTTCTTAAATTATAACCTTGGACCTTAAAGATCCAAGGTCATCCCTTGAGAATCCAAGAATTGTATCAGTCGGCTTCAAACCATCAACGTCCAAAGGCAAAGCCTTAAAAAACAATGGAAGTCTTCCTAGAATAACTACCAAAGCCAATATTTTTTTTCTCTTTTTTGAAGTCTTTGGCTTTTGGACCTTAAAGGGGCAAAGCCAAGACTTGTATCTCAAATATAAATCTTGGCTTTGGACCTTCAAGGTTTGACACCAAGAGATGACTTTGGATCTTAAAGGTTTGAAGTTATTATTAAAAAAAGTTTACTTCAGATCTGTAAGATCCAAAGTCATCACATAAGTTATGATTTTCAACCCAGAAGCTCAGAAAGAAATTGAGAAAAGGGGTATTAACTTTAAATACAACATTTGGGTGGGGGGGGAGGGGGGGGGGGGGGGTTCATTTGATAACATAAAATTAGGGGGATATGAGTGTTTATTTCCCTTGAATATTTCTTCATCATAGACAAGAACTATGGCACCGAGAATCAAATTTATATGCAATCATATATAAATGGTTTGACTTCGAACATGTATATAGTCACTTACTCTTACCCTTTAATCCAAATGCAGGATCGGGTGATAAAAAGGTCCAAGAAACATTCCTTGCTAAGAATGACCCAAGGATCACTGCTTTGTTGCAGCAAGCAGAACTGCTAAGCTCTCTTGCCCTGAAAGTTAACACACAAGGATCCAATCAAAGTTTTGAGAATGCATGGAAGGTGAGCAAATGCAAATATCGTAAAGCATTTCTGATCCATGTTCTCAGTTTGGTCTCACATTAAGGCCATAACCACATACTAAGGGCGCATTTCATTTCTAGCCAAATTGAGGCCAAATTGTAACTTGGACCAAATTACAAATCTGGCCAATTACAATGTGACCCTGTAGGTCTGTTAGATTTTGAAATTGCAATTGATTTTTCGACCCCCAATTGTCATCTGTGGAAAAACCACTAGGAGTGGTTTTTGCATCAATTGTCTCTCTCTTTACCAAAACCCCACCACCATTGCCACCCATATCGCCACCAACACCAGTGCACTGCCACGACCACCACCGCACTGCCATAACCACCACGATCCAGCCACAACCACCACCATTCCACTGCTGCCACCACCAACACCACCACTCCACCACTACCACCTCCGTTGCACATGGCCACACCTAACCATTGCACCGCACAATAAAAAATTGCAATTCAAATTGGGACAATCACACACCTGTAAGCAGGAAATGAAAATTCACCAAAATATGATTTGGTCAAATATAAATTGAGAAAAAAAAAAAAAAAACTCCTTGGATCTAATTTGACAATCAAATGGACCCTAAGCTGCTCACTTTACATTAGAAACAATAATATTTACTAAAAGAACTTAATTTCAAAAAATATTCTTTAATTTGAATAAACATTTTTCTTAAATTTGTACCTCATATTTAATGTTCTGTGAACTACAGGAACTCCAGGAGTTCTTAGCTCAGAGTGGAGATTCAGATATTTTGAGACACAAAGTTGCCGGTCTTGATCCACTATTTGAAGACTTCAAAAACTTGATTACAGATTTGAAAAGCAGTCAAACAGGGAGCCCTTTTCCATTGAGGTAATAAGCCAATTATTATTCAAGAAGCTATAGTAATTTGACAGCCCAAGATGGTGACAAAATATGGTCGGTTTCATTGCATAGGCAATCTGAATTGTATGAGGACCTATCAGCAAATTCTGGAGACAGTGCCATCTCAAATCCCCAGTCTAATGCAGAAATAACCAAAATAGATCAAAGACAAACAGAAGAATGCGTAGCCTTTAACAAGGAAGAAAACACAGATGATTGCATTGGGGAGAAAAATGAAGAAGAGATTCAAGGAATTGAAGATGGTTATTCTACAGGCATGACCCCCCTCTTTTTTTATGGTTTTGTCTGGCTTTGTTGGGATTGGCATTGGATTGAGTCTTGGTTTTTGATGCAGAGGGGCTATTATCATCTTGCATCCAGCCAAATGAAGATGGAAAGTTCTCGTGTTTCTCAGTGAATGTGGAGTTCTCATCTCCTCTTCGAATGATCCCATTTTTTCGGTCATTCGCTGATGGTATTCCGAGTCCACAGTTTTCAGACAGTGTAAGAAGCATTTGCTAAATGTTCCCTCAGTTTATTCTGTTGTTTGATGTTTAAGTCACACATGCACACGCACAATATGCAGAGAGAGAGAGAGAGAGAGAGAGAGAGAGAGAGAGAGAGGAGGAGGAGGAGGAGGAGGAGGAGGAGGAGGAGGAGGAGGAGGAGAGAGAGAGAGAGAGAGAGAGAGAGAGAGAGAGAGAGAGAGAGGAGGAGGAGGAGTAGTACGTTACGTTACGTTACGTACGTAGTACGTATACGTACTACTACGTACGTACGTACGTACGTACGTAACGTAACGTAAC